TTGCAGATATTTATTTAAGACTTTTCTTCTCCCATAAAATACCCGAGTCCTTACTGATTCTTTTTCCACGCTGCTTCTCCTCTCTGGTTCCTGTTTTCTTGCTGTTGGTGCTCTGCCTGAGAGCACAGGAATAAATGATGGCTGAGCCAAGCCCAGGGGCCTCCCAGGACCCCCCATTTCTGTGACTCACCAAGTCAGAACTCCAACCTGAGTGCCAGGACCAGCATGGTGAGCATTCAAGGGGAGGGAGAATGTGACCCCTCTTTCATGGTCAAAACAGGGAAGAAAGGAGGTGTCTGGCCACACCCATGTTGTTAGGCTCCAGGGCAGATTATTATTATTTTTCATAAATTCACAATCTCCTCAGAGTGTTCTTTGGACACCTCCAGAAGTTGTAGTGGAAAGGAGCTGCATTATTTATCTGAAACCTCCCAGGTCTCACACACAGGACTTTCCTGACCAGAGGGGTTCATCCTCCCAGCACAGGAGATACAGGAGAGCTGTTTTCACCTTCTCTTCCCAGTCTGACTCACACATGGACCAAAGAGCCTACCTTGGGTACCACCACGGGACAGAGGGATTTTGGCACATACATTTCCTAAATCCCTCTGTGGACATAGATTTCATAAAGGCATCCTTTGACAGAGACTGGCTTCTAGAGGCCAGTCCAACACCTCAATCCACAGCTACTCCACAGATGTCACCCCAAACTCCCATCATAAAATATTACCTCTCAGCATCTTAATAAATACACTCCTTTCTTTCCTTGAACTGATCCCTTATTACATTTCAGGGCCTAGCTTACAAAGGACAGGTTCATTTGCTAATACATGAATCATTATTGCTTTGAGCCTCTGAGCTAGCATTTTTTATGAGCACGCTTCAAAATGTATTTGATTGCTGTTAGAAATCATTTTGGTTCACGCTCGACAACCAGGCCAACCTAAGCCAATATGCTCTGCCTGGCACTGTGGAAAGATGTTGTGAGAATTTAATTACTAACTGCAAGTTGCTGTGCATATGGTGAATTTTAAATGGACTGTTTCTTTTATTTTTTTTTTTGCCTCTAAGATAAAAAACCCTGGTTGTTTAACTCCAGGTTATTAAGATCTCTATCTAGCAGTTCTGATAAAATTGTTTCAGATCGTATACCCTACAGAGAACAGCGTGCTGCCTTTTCCTATCCATGAGCTGCCTGCAGACTATAAATGCCATCCAAACCAAAGTGAGTCCTCTTTGCCCTTCCATGAGCCTGGGCTAAACGTTAAGAGATTAGATTTACTTCACTGCCTTCATGTAAGAAAGCTTTTGGAAAAACATTTGTTTTATGTGATAAGGTACAACAAAACACCACTAGAACAGAACTTCTCAGCTCTGGCAGCAGGAGTCTCACCTTGGGGAAGGGAGGGAAGGATGGATAGTGGAGTTGCAGACTGTAAAAATACTCTTAAAATAGTTTAAATCCAGTCACTCACTACTTCTCATCTCCTTTTCCACTATTATGATGGTGCTGATGCTCTTCTGCTGTTTGGTTTCTATGTGACATGAAAGCTCTGTGACACATGTCACCATGATATTTATACAGAACATTAGCACACTAACAAGAGGAGGAAGATGAGCTTTCAGAATGTCTTTTATTAATACACACACTATATGTATACATGGCACATTAGACCTCCAGATTTTCATGAAGTCCTCAGGCCTGGAATAAATTAACTGATGAGGAGCACAATTTTTCTAAGCAGCCAGCATTTTTCTACTTGCTTGAGCTGAATCTTTAGCTGGTGTGTGAAAGAACAATTCTTTCAGACACAGATTTGATGCTGGGTTTACCTCAGACTAAATTTATCACACATGTATTTATCAATGCATTTTACAGGAAAAGAAAAAAAGAAAAATAACTTAAAAGTTCTTTTTTTTTTTTTGGACTTGTGTTCAGGCAAAGAAATTAAAAATTTTCTTCAAAAAAATTAGAATTCTAAGGTTTTGAATAGGTTTAATAGTTACACAGAGTCCCCTTCTACTAAACCCTGGTATAAAGAAGGAGAAAAGCCTCATGTCACCCTGGCCTGATGGATAGCAAAAAGGGTCTCTGATTCAGACTTAAGAAAGGAGCTTTGGCTCCAGGATCAAAACAGAAAGCAAGCTCCTAAGAGATGAAAAGTGTCCTGACTTTTTTTCTGATAAGGCTGAACATAACACAAATCCCTCACTGCCCCTCAGGAGCCCACTGGAGCTTTGAACTTCATTTCTGTTCAGAAAAAGAAGGCACAATGCAGCAGTCTGGGCCTCAGCATTATGATAGTTTGAGATTGTGAGGGGAAAAAACATGGCTTGGACATGCTGGATGTATTCTGAATATTTAAAAAAAAACTCCAACAGGGTTATCATCCACAATGTACCTTTCCAAAAAACAAGGGAAAACATTTTCAAAACACCTGTGTCACTTTAACGAGCCTACACTCTGCTCTCAAGAGTGACTCAAAATGACTTATACCATCCAAAAGGAGGAAAACTGGAGCCAAAGTTATTTAGGTTCAGATTCACAAAAATATTTACCTACTTCCCTTTGGTGAGCTGGACCTCAGCTGATCTGCTTTGACTTGAATTTGCACCCTTGATGCAGATTCTCACCTCATAACCCAACCTTTGGCCAGCAAGACCAGAACACCCAGGGCTTGTCTAGCCCACACCTCCCCTGCAGGATGAGAGTGGCCAGGTCAGCACCTCACTAACCCAGAATCATCCTGAACAGGCCCAACATCTTGCTAATTGCTTTTTAACACAAAACAAGCAGCTTTGCAATGAAAGGAGCCGTTTATTCAGTTTAAACACATCATTTTACTGCTTAATTTCCTCCTCCTTGCTGATAGGTGGCAGCAGTTTCTGCACAGAACGCCAGTGCTTGAAGTGCACGGGGAATTTCAATAGGTTTTGGCAAATGTTTCCCTGCTAACACACCACAGCACTGACCTGTGTGTTTTGGAGCTCTGTCAACAGATTAGGCAGATTTCACTGTAATAAACTGCAAAAGCAGAAAAACCTTTCCTGAATCCTGATTAAAATTTCTTTATTGGAGCTCAGTTATTCATGTGAAGAACCCAGGGCCTTATCCCTGGGTGAACTGCTGAGTGTAAGTTCCTGCTTTTCCAGATTGGCCCCAGTCAGGATGCAAAGGCAACTCTAACTAATGCAGGTGCTCAATGACATTGCAGTGACAACACACAGCCAAAACCAAACAAAAACCGGCCAAGCCAGCCACATACAGGCTGAAAAATCATTATCACTGTCACTCATTGCTCAGTTACAGGCACATGTTAATGATTCACAGTTGATTCATGACGATTTATTGAACAAAAAAAAGGAGAAGGGTGGCTACATCCACGGAATACATTCTTCACAGTGAAAAATCTGAGATTTGGGATAACTTCTGCAGAGCAACCATTGTCAGGTGCAGAACTGCTGACAAACTATTTATATGAACCTAATTTTGCTGGATATTATTCACAAAACATTCATTCTAGCAAGCATATGGTACCTTTAAAGGTGAGGTTTCTCCTTCCAAGAAATGTTGGCTTGACAATAACAGGAAGCTGAGTCTACAGAATGCCTTGGCTTGGAACAGAGCGGTGTCCCTACGCAGAGCCCTCAGCGTGGAATTAGGAGGAAATGCCTCACCCTAAAAAAGACTCATCCTGGAGATGGAGATAAATTTGCCCAGGCTGTGCCAGGCCACTCCTCCTGCGGCTGGTTGTAATGTTACCCACCTGAAGCCTACAGCCAGCCCCACCTCCCCTGGGTGAACCAGGCAGTCGCTCAGCGGCTGCTCTCCCACTGGGGCTGGCACTGCCCTTGGAGAAATGGGGAAGGAGAAAGCTGGTGCACTCAGGTCTCCCCCACTGCATTCTGCTGAACCAGAGGGGTGCAAGAGAGCCAGGAATATGGCAACATGTCCCAGCCTGGTCACCCCACAGCCTCCTCCCTGCAGGAGCAGCGGGGCAGGGAGTTCTTCCTCGCAGAACAAATGAAGGTGTTGTTGCATCCCTTCTCAGATGCTCTGTGCTCTTTGATCACAAACTGCACACTTTGTCACACACACTAACAGAGGAGATACAGCCTGGCTGAGATCCAAAATCAATGTTAAAACCAGCCATGTATGTTTTATACCACAGAGCAGCTCAGGAACCCGATCGGTTCTCACCCTGCTGTCACCCAGTCCCAGGGATGACACAGAGCATCTGCTTGCACAGTTACAAAGTTGTTTGCCAGTGATACTAAAAAAGCAAGACACTCAGTTCAGAAATTTATTTTAGAACAGGATGACAGAGGTCGAACTAAGAAGGGTGTTAAAAAAGACTTGGCAGCAGTTATTCACAGTTTTTCACCATAAGAGAACTACAGGGCATCCCATGGAATGAAAGGCAGCAATGCTGACTCGCAGCAATTGTGCTATTTATTACAGCAGGATGTTGTGGCATCCAGAGGTGTAAGTGGATTAGATACATACAGGCTCACTTTTGTTGCTAAATCTAGTGGTTGGGTTGGTATGTACAGCCTCTAGTTTGGGATGTCCTCACCTTGAGAAATTAGGGGGAGAGACAAAATGAAAGGATCATTCCACGTTTTCCCTGTGTCTTATTTCATTCTTCTAACCATCAATTATTGACTGTTTTCAGTGATGAGGTGACAGGCTATGTAGACTTTTGTTAGAAGTATGACAGTAGTCTGTACTGTCATCAGCCCAGTTTTGGATGTGCACACCCAGGGCTGAGTCTCTGATGTGCCTCCTCTGACATGCACAGAGCTCATCTGCTTCAGAACAGCTCACAGTCTGCTGTGCTCTTCTCAGAAATGGGCTGACTACCTTTCAGAACAGATTATGTGCAATTTAAATTTTAAAATGCACATATGCTTTGCTCTTCTCGTTTTCCTTTGTGTGACAACTTTGAATTTTAATACAACTGTCCAAACATACAATGATAAAACATGCAGCTCATGTCAGCAGTAAAATGCATAGTAATTTATTAACTTTTTGAGTGTGAATACAAATTGATTTGATGATGTGCCACATAATGAAAAATTATTCGCAGTCACAACTTGCATTCTAGTTGCTGCATTATTTTTTTTTTCTTAATTAAACATTACAAAGAGTTTGAAAACTGCACAACACTTGTTGGTGGCCAACAGGAAACTGTAATGCTATGAAAAGTAACCAGTGCTTCTACAGGTTTTTGAAGAATGTTCTTGATTCAGAAATTAACTTCTTCAAAAGCAGGTTGCCATATATTGCTTCACTGGGTGTTTTTTAAGTAAGTGTTCTTGGACAAAGAAACATTGTTTTTACTTAGGACAACCTCTCAACTCAACACCTTTAGTTACAAGTCATTAATGGTTTTGTCATATAAGTCAATGTATTTGTGAAACCATTCTGAAATCCATTACAATGTACTAAAGTCACTGTATATCTCTCCTTCTAATGTCATTGATGGCTGGGGCATTGTAAAGACACAGCAGAAATCTTCACACAGCACAAGCATCCCACATCTTTATAGGAACACAGAGATTGTTAAGAAAGTATCTGAAACTAATTAATTACATTTTGGAGAAGATGTAAATTTTTATGCACTTTGTGCCACATTCACTAATAATTATTAACTGTATAATTTCAGTATTTATTCCTTGAGTTCCCTTAGTTCCCTAGGTGAGCAGACTCCATCTCTGGCAGAACACACTCAGTGCCTTAGTGTTTGAAGAACATCCTGGTTACCACAGAGGAAGCTAAAAATGTGTGATGCACAGACTTCAGTAGACCACGGTGCCAGTTAATGTATTTTCCATCTATTCAGTAATTAGAGCTCTCACTTTAAGTCCACTAATGTCACACACAGGAAAAGAATATCAAATTGTATGGCTGGTCTCTTGAACAGCTCTTCCTGATGAAGCAATACACACATTTATTAAGTTTGGGATTCTTTCCAAAGAGAACATGATATTAAGTTTACTGTGGTGACATGCAGATCTAGAGACATGTGAAGACCTGATAATTCCTTGGTTTCTGTCCAGCTTGTTATAGACCTTCTAAACTGCAATACCATCTTTGATCTGTGGCATGACCTCTGCCACGGGCTTTGAGCAGCACTAAGAAGCAGGGAGTCAAAACAGCAGCAGCCAGAAATGGAACATCATTGTTAGCGACATCTTCAGCCAAGTGAATTCTGACAGTTGTTCTTCCTGCTCAAGCCTTTCACAAAAAACCAAAGCTATCTGTGTCCTAACTGGAGGATAATATGCCAAAGTACCTCTGAACCACAGCTTCTATTAAAGTTCTTCCTACAACCCAACTCACTGGATCCCTAAACAGGCCATAATGTGCTTCTGCATGTCTGTTAATGAACCATCTCAAATGAATCCTGGATGCTGAAGGAATTACATGCTGTGTAATTGATCTAAAGAACAGATTAGGGCTGGTGCTATTTCATTAAATCTTATTAGCTCTGGCTTAAGCACTTAAAACTGCAGCTGTCCTGTGTCAGACAGATTACACCCCCTGTCACATGGCAAGTGAGATTTTCATCTACTAGACCACAGTTTTTAAAAAGGAGCAGGCTGATGAAAAGGAATATAAACAAAGGACTGTGAAAGCCTCACCTTCAGACACACTGAGCCCCAAATTATTCCCTGAAATGAGATAGAAAGCTCAACACATTCCAATATGTATGAAGACCTGTTGTTTTGTTTCCATGTTTTGGTTTTAGATCACTTCTATGGAACCTGAGTTTGGCTTTTTGGATGTGGAAGAGCCCTGAAGAGTTCTCATGGGTGAGCACATTACAGATCTTAAACAACTGCAAGGGAATCCATTGGGTGCTCCCAAAACACCTTCTTTAGTTCTTTTTCTCTTTGTTGCTTCCACTGGAGGTTATTGTTCCTCGGGAAACAGTGAGTCAGCAAAACTAGAGGAAAATTTTGGCTGAGGAACAAGTAGCTTTAATCAAGCCAAAAGTAAAATCCAGCTTGGAAAACAGTTTATAGTTCTCAAAGGAGAAAGAGGTTTTTTTACCACAGGACTCAAGCTAAATTTTAGGGACCCTGACATGCTCAGAAAAGTCTATTTTTACTGCTTTGCCTTTGACAACAATGTGCCAGGCTTGATGTTCTTTCTCACCTTCTATTCTTCTGTCCTATGACCTAGTATTTAGCTCCATAATCTCCCAAATCAAACAAAATAGCAAATGAAGACTTTGATCTGAATTTTCTCTACAAGGCATATTGCACTACATTAAATACTTTTCAATATCTAGAACTGCTACACTGTGGGAAACAAGACTGAAAATCTGCACAACATTAAGCAGGATTTCAGATAATACTAAGGGGTAAAATATTGACAAAAGAACCATAGACTTTGGTTAAAACAGATAATACTCAAGGCTTTTTATTATTATTATTCCTTTGATGAGAGAATATTTAAGACCCTCTCACATGCAGAGTCACCATGTTAATACCACAGCCAAAGCAGTGGTTCATACAGATAAAGACTAAAGTAAAAATAATCCAACAGATGTGCTTTGCAAATATAAGAAATTATTTCAGCAAATCTTAAAAAAAAATGACAATCACAGAAAATACTGACTCCACCTTTAAGAGTTATCTGAATTTTTTTATATTAGTCTGTAAATCTCAGAGCCACTTATCTATCACAAAAACCTGCTTTCCTTCTTCTACCCTAACTCTAAGAGTTAGGCATTTACTAGTCACACTGATATATAATTACTTTCAACTTCCAGCCTTGTTCATATAATACAGTTGGCACTTACTCACTGGGACGACTAAAAACGGTGTGAATGACCTGTTACTCCCCAAAAAGCTCACCTGGTAAAATCATCTTTCCCCTCTTTTGCCTTCTCACCTCCCTCAAGGAGCAAAACTCCATCAGAGCAAACAAAAGGAAAATTCAGCTTTCATACAATTTAAAATGGGGCAACTGTGTCTGGATAGAAGATGAGAAGCCACTTGCAAACACACTCCTGTGCAAAGCTTTCAACAGCTGCTCCATGGACGGTAACTGCAATTTTAAATTGTCTACAGTCAACATAAGGAGGTTAAATGCAGGGCAGCTGTTCCCAATCTATATTTAGCCTGAAGCTTCCTACCTGGTTCAGACCTGCAGGAAGGCTTGAATACTGAGATTGTCCGTGATTTTATACCATATTCCTTGATTTATTAAAGATGCTATTCTCCCTGCAGGTCTTATTACACTGTTCAAAAGGTTGTGTTCAACTAACCGTAAACACGGAGTTTGAAGCATTTTTATATCTAGAATCTCACCCAGAATTATTCTTTTATATATATTCATGCGTGACGAGGCCCACACGACATAAATAGAGCTCAGCAATTAGCCACAAATAAACTCCAGGAGAACTGGCTTTGTGTTGCATCTTGCATGCTGTGTTTCAGAAATAAAATCAGGGCAAAATACAGTGATATGCTTTCCACATACTAACCAAGAGTTGACAAGAACTGATGGATTTTGCATGTTAAAAGTAAATATTTTATTACATATCGTGCCCTTGAAAAATTAACTTTGTTTCCATTCGATTTTGTTCAGCATGCCTTGAAATAGGGATGGCAAAAGCTATTCGAGGAACAGATCACCAAGACTCAACAGCACCGCAGTGACTGCAATTACCTGGCTCAGGAAAAACAAAGCAATTTTGTTTTTTAAAGCTCTATAAAATATTAAACAGCGAAATTAACAGATCCCATCTGTGTGTCTCCTTCACGTATGACTGAATCTGCTGCACTGAAAATCTGCACTGAAAATCTGCCTGACACGGAGCCACAGCCAAAACCCGCTGATGTCGACAGCGGCCATCAACTCTGACAGCCTTTGGGGTAAGACCTTGTCACTGCTCTGGCTACCTGTGCACACATCCTGCAGGAACCACTGGATACATTATTAAATTCAGGTTCACAAAGATGCTGTCAATGGGTCGACTACAGTAAAATATTCGTATTTCAGAGTAACAGTATTTATATACGCTCCCTACCTGCTGCTCTAATTTGCCTTCTTATCACTAGGTTTGTGTTTGCTTTTCAAATGCTGGAAAGCCTTTGCTGGCTTGCTCAGGAACCTTGTCCAGACAGTGCTCACAAAGCGTGTTTGCTCACATTTGACATTTCCACAGGATGGGGAACGAAACGAAAGATTCAAGTTTTTAAATTCCACAGGTGGCACCGAAGCCACTCGACTCATTTTGGGAAGCAGCGAGTATCCAGCTTCCAGGCAGCCCCTGGAACAGCACAGCAGGGCACCTGCATGCACAGCATGGCAGGAAGGGAACCTCACACTCACCTGCTCGGGGCTTGGGGGCCAACTGAGGCCTCTTGAAATCCATCCCTCCAGCAGGACATTTACTGCCTCGGAAGAGTTAAATATGCAAGTGCTATATTGTGATGCCTTCACAGCCAACAAATGTAGAACGTGGCAATATAACGGAGCGTGTGGCTATTTTACCTATTCAACATTTACCTGTGTCTATCTAGAAGAGGTCTCTAAAAATGCTGCTTTTCAGCAGCTTGAAGGTTGAGAACCACCTGTAAACATTTGCGGAACAGTCTCTCTCTAGAAACAGAGACTCCTAAACAATCAACCTCGAAATGCATCATATATTATATTATATTTCCAGTGTTATTTACAGATCTTCTTGTTTAGTACAATGAACCAGACATGCTGAAAAGGTAGGATTTTTCCAGTCCTCTTTTATACGAAGTACAATAAAAAAGGCACATGATTATTCACCATAGGAGTTGTGCACCAGTCAAAAAACTTAAAGCTAAAAAGCTACCCATCAGAGAACTCTCTTTATGAGGCAGTATTGGGATCTCTCCTTTGAACTCATCACAGAAAGATCTGTCTGTTAATTCCTCTAGGAGAGCTTAAGGAATCCGCTTCCCTGTCGTGTTCTGATCTTCACAAGATTTCCAAATCAACAGAAAACTCTTGTTAAGCTTCCCACATCATCTACTGGAGCAAGGAAGAGTCAAACAGGGCATGTGTGTGTCTGCTTTTTGTTCTCCTTCTTTCTTTCCTTTGAATGCCCGACTGAGGAGGACTCTGGACAGCCAAGACCTGTTCAAACTAATTTGCTTTAAGACAAATGCCTTGCAAGGTATGGCACACTGAGCAAGGGACAACAGCAGGAGGGGCAGCCCAGCCCCAGCAGTCAGTGTCTGCCGTGTTTTATCCAGTTCCTGATCATCCATTTCTGCCCCGAGCACCTCTGTACAACTAATCTGAGCCCAAAATTTGCATCCTTCGACATTTCCACTTCTAGACAACGGCCAGTGTCTCTGCTGATGATTGGGCCATTCTGGAAAAAAAATAAGGAGCAAGAGAAAAGACCAAAGGATTAGAAGAAGGAACAGGGAAGGTGAAAAGTCTAGAAGAAAAACAGTGCTAGATCTGCAAATCTGTAGAAAGCATGATAAAATGCCTGGAGATTTCCATATATATCAAGGGATAAAAGCCCTTAGAAAGTGCTAGAAATTCCTAGGAGAAGCTAGCTAATACATATAAAGTACCAAAACAACTTGGTTATTCTAGATTTAAGAATCACTGGAAAAATACCCCCCAAATTACTAGAAAAATCTCTAAAAACCACTAGTGAATCCCTATAGAGCTCAAGATACAGGAAACCCCAGAAACTGTAATAGTGCTTTTGGAAGTCCTAAAAATTATTTGAAAACTCCAGATCTAAAAGTTTCTGGAAAGGTGCCAGAAAAAGTTCTAGCAACAAAAATTCGTAGACACTAAAAAAAAAAAAATAATAAAAAAAATTACAAGCACAATCTTGACAATCAATACAGAAATTGAGAATATTCCAATCCAGGATAACTAAAAATTCCTGGAAAGCATACTCCAAAATTCCTCCTCCTAATAAAAGAATTCCTAGGAGGAATAATAATAATAATAGTAATAGTAATAGTAATAATAATAATAATAATAATAATAATAATAATAATGGTGGTGGTGATGATGATGATGATGATGATAATAATAATAATAATAATATTCCTGGGTAGCACACGAACTATGGAAAATATATTTAACTATTTCTAAAAGGCATATGGGGGAATTCCTAGTATAGTCCTCTAAAGACCTTCTTGTTTTCATTGAATATCCTCTAGAACATAATTCTCTGCAAGGCTCCCTGAGCTCTTCCATACCTGTGTGAAATCCCAGAACCTCTGTGCTGGCCTCAGGACATCTTCACACTTCTTCAGGGTCGGTGTCCTGCCCTTCCCATCGTCAACCAGGCATTTGGAGTCGGGCAGGAAGGCGGTGGAGCCCAAGGGCCCCAACTGCAGGACCCCCTCGGAGCTGTACCGGACGAGCTGGGGGAGAAAGGAAAGTCAGAGGTGGTGAGGAGCCCTTTGTCCTGTCTGTCCCCACCTGGGGCAAAGCTTGGGACCCCTGTTTAACCAACAGGGTCTCACCTAGAACACAGCATTCCCTCCTTTCATTTCACACCTCTACTCCCCCACCGTTCCCTGCCCACTGTTTCGCTGCAAAAGGGCAATCAAGAGAGTGAAGTAATCAATATGTAAATCATGCCCACTCAGCAGGAGCTGATTTAACAAGGACACGGTGTCAATTTTGCTGTGCAGTTTGTCCTTAAGAGCTCTGTTAGAGGCTATGGAGAGCAACAAGTCTAATTAGTTTTTTGTAAATAAACGTCACCAAAAAAAATCCCACCGCGCAACCAGGATCCAAAAATATGAGGGGGAAAAAGAAATCACAGGGGAAATGGCAGCAAATTTGCTAACATATGCTTCAGGCCTACATAATAAAGAATGACACACTGATATTTCAGTTTACTGTGAAGCACATTAAAGCAAAAATGCACGATGCTGATTTGGCAGCAGGCCAGTATGTCAAATCAGACTTATCTACTTCTCACTTCTGTGTTTAAATGCAGAGTCATTAAACCAGCACAATATTTTGCCCTTCTTACTGTAGAAGTGCAGCACCCAGGTGCCAGAAGACTGCAAAGTGGAGTCAGCCACGTGGCTTGTGTGCAGTGAGTCTGGATGCTGCGGGGTGAAGATCTGAGCCACCACAGAAATGCAATTACCACCCAGGAAATTCACTGCCTGTCTGATCTTATTGCTGTTATAGGGCTGAAATTACTTAACAAGAAAGGAAAGGAAGGTCAGCAGTGCCTGCCATTTATTGGATGCCACTGACCACTGGGTGAGATATCATTAAGAGTCAATCAAAAAAACTCAAATTAGAGTCCAGCTTTCTACCGCCATCCTTATTAACCTCAGAAGAATCATGCTGTGAATAATCATTTCTTGCTGGTGGTAAAAAGAGCATGGTCTACTTGCTCCCAGACCAGATGCTCTTTGACATAGTGTGTGTTCATTTTCCCACCTGCCACTTCTGTTCAGAGCAGCCACGTGAAGCAGCGAGTTAGAACTGAGCCTACATCAGAGAAAGCAAAAAGGATAACCACATGAGGATGCTCCATGTGAACAGTGCCATTGTCAAGGCACTGTCTGTACACACTAAAGCAAGACACACTTTTGGGGTTTTATTTCACTGTAAGGTTAGGAGGGACATATGTAAAAGAAGCTCAAGCAAGCAAAGTAATTCAAAATATGAATGGACCGCCAGGTCAGACAAATTAACTTTCTTTTTTCACATATAAAGGAGCTGGGGAAAAAAAACCACAAAACAGCCACGAAACTTCCATTTTTTTTTTTTAAGTAAAACCTGTCTGTGTATTTAATGGGCTCTCAGCAGAGTTCAAATGAACTGCAGGTATGGCTGAAACACTGACTACAAAATGTGTTCATCTTCCAGTCTTTACTGTCTTTCTCCAGTCCCAAAATACCACCCAGCAACCTTGTTGGCTTTGCCTTTTCTAGATAATCAGAACCACTGTTTATAATTGGCCACAGGTTCTGCAGCACAGGAACAGTTTTCCCTGTGGTTTAAGATGAGCAGCGTTTTCTGTACTGGCACTAAAACAGTCTCAAATATTCTTTGTCTTCAGAATCTCAAAAACCGGAATTGCACCAGCTTTGCATCACACTAGCCACGTACTTGGGAAAGACTTTGTTATACAGCAGCCTGTCAAAGCAGAACACACCAGTTTTGCTGAGGCTTTAGAAGTGGAAGGTACATTATCACTGTTATAAACCATCTCCAGTACTGAAAGTGGCAGCTGTGTTACAGCTCAACAGGGTCAGAGGTGGCTCCGTGCAGGAAGCTGCTGTCTATACAACGACCAGACAAATGGAACAGCATGGGCTTAATTTTCCTGAATCTGTACTTTCTGTTAAGTTTTTATGGCTACTCCAACAGTCATTAAAACTTAGACTTATCCTGCAATGAGACAGAATTCTAAAAAAAACACACCCAAACAATTATCTCAGTTTAGACCATATTACATAGTAAAGTTTTAGTGCTTGCTTTTGCAAAATCAGAGGAGAAATTCAGGTTCAAGAAACTACTATATGATTAATAACATCTCCCTCCAAAGACTTCATATCTTAACTTCCTAGAGACAACACAAACTATGAAAATAAAACAAGCATTAAAATAAGTTGCTTATTACTGTAAACTAGAAAGCAGGAACTGGGATACAGTCAATGAAGTGAGAAAATTACACCTGCTGTGTTCAAACTTGGTCCTAAGTGTCACTACTATACAAAGAAACAACCTCTGAATTTCTGTTAGAATTGTGGATCATCATGCCAAACAGTCAAAATCAAATGACAAAATCTCCTTTATTAAGGAATATTAAATCCTAGTCATTTAAAAAAAATCTTAGTGCAGGTTCTGATGGGCTGAGATCATTAGGTATCCACACGCTCCCATTGCAAGCTGCAGAACAGAAACAGAGTTTTATACATCATGGGGATGGACCTTGGCTCAGTTTTTTATCTGAGAAGAGCTGAAGGATCCACATCAATGACACTGAAGCCAAGTGCTCTGTTACATACTCAAGATCTGATCCTGATACCATCTGCTGTACCAATGAGGAGATAGGAGAGTTTTCCCTTCAACATTCAGAAATCTGAGCAGAATGCAAAAGACGTCAAAGGTTGTTTATCAAACCACCTCACCTGGTTCAAAAACAGTGAGTGCTGCTGCCTGTGGAATGTGATCCTTCAGGAGCATCAATGGGGGAAGTAAATGGCAGCTTTCACCTGAAGGATCTGACTTACAAAAAATCCATTCCTGCTAATTCACAGTCAAGTGAAAAAAGCACAGAATGATTACAGATAACTGTTTGCAGGAAACAGTTACATGGAGGGGCCTGGTAGAGTTCAACACTAAATTTAACCTCTCTCTCCCACCCTTGTTCTCCAAGCAAAAGGAAATCTTTAATGATCCTTCAGTCCTGCAGGTTAAGGCAAGTTGAAAGCTGACACAGAGAGTGAAACAGTGAGCTATACAGGAATCCCAAACACCCTGTGCCTCCAGGATACTTGTCACCACAAGACACATCAAATCACAAGTTACCAAATTTCCATGTTTGTTCCAGAATCTCACCCATCGCTTCCTGCAAGTGAAGAAACTACCTGCATGCAAATCTGGGAAGCCAAATAGCTCTGCCAAGCAAGATGTTAAATATCTGCCTTCTAGCAACGGTTTAAGCAGAACCTTTCATCTCCTCTTATCCCATCTGTTTGCATAGCTGTGAGCTCCAGGAATCCCAGCATCGAGCTCTCCCCTCTTTCTGCTTGATCCCAAGGTGGGCAGTCCTTGCTCTCACAGCTGCAGAGCCTCCTCTTTCTCTCCCTGTGAAAGGGAAGGGAGGAGGCTGGAGAAGGAGGCTGTTCACCCTGGCCCTTCTATCCTAGGATGCCATTTTATTTAGTTCTCCTCTCCTTCCACACACCATACAATCAGCTCCACAGCTTTCCTCACAGACTGTGAGACACTGAGCATTTCCTCTGTGAAAGTGCTCTCAGAAGGTCCTGCAAAACCTGCATGTCTTAGGGCCATTCTAAGAAGCTTTCAGAGCAACATATTCCATTTTTGGGGGGTTGTATCTGCCCCCACAACCCCATCCTGTTTTGTTTGTTTGTTTTTAATTTGTTTTACAACAAAAGGGTCTCATGTAAGTCTATAGAACCACTGAGCTTTGCAGGTGATTGAACAAGGTAGGACACATGCAGAGGCAAGGCAGTTCAAGATCCCAAATATATTTCTTTCTTACTAATTTTCTGTAGCCCTGGACTGTTTCTCCCAGCTGTATTTGCAAACAGTTTTGTCCTGAAAGTGATTAGACTCAAACTTCAGATCCAATGAACACATATAAAAAGGACACTACTCTTCTGTAAAAAGAGTTTTCAAATCAACTTGGACTGATGCAAAACCTTGTCTGGATACCCTTGGCTGTTAGCTTACACTGCCTTAGCTCAAGTCAAATTCATCAAACCAAATTGATGTAAACTCAGGCTAAATGCATTCCAGAGCATCCATAAAAGACTTCGTCCCCGTCTGAATAAAGAAATTTAAAAGCTGATGTCACTGACAAGATGTGATTTATTGTGGTGAGACCTGATCTTGGAATACACACAGGGAAAGGCATTTTGCTCATGGAGAAGAGTGGTTTTAGTTTGGCATTGTAATGCAGGACACCACCATTCAGAGGTGTGCAATACCCAAGGGAAACAGAAGGGCAAGAAGTAGAAGAAAAGAACATTTTATCCCAGATGAACAGTAATCTTCCTCCTAACTCAGTTTTCTTTAACCACTCACCTGACTCGTGTTGTTTCAGTGGAACCACGTGTACTCTAAAATCACTGGTAATCTGCTTGTCAGAACTGAGGAGTATGAAAAGCAAACAAGGCTGTAGCTGCATGGGGGGATTCTTTCACTTCAGTAGGACACACGAAGCACCAGTGACAACCCAACTGGGAAAACGAGTTCCATATTTATATTAATTTATATTCAGTAGGCGTGTACAAATAACCCAAATCTCGACTCAGCAGGGGTATTTTATGCCCTGTGCTTGAGATGAAAAATGTCAGAAATGGAAAGCTAAATGCAGCAGACAACTATGCTCACCCAGGCTGATTAGAAGAGGGGCTCTAAAAATGTTTATTTAAGATATTAAAACACTTGCTGTCAACACCTTTCATGCAATGTGCTTGAATATCCTTGATTAGGGTTTGTGCAGCTGTGGTTCTCACACTGAATTAATTTTGTAAATTGTGGTGAGATGATAGAAGTTTTCCAGCTGTGTAATCATTAATTAACTTGGCTGCATTTGAGTGGCTCCAACCCATGCTTGTCTGTGAAATACTCAACTTAGATAAACCATCACCTTTGCCTTTGCTTGGTGTTTCTTGCAGAATGAAAACTTTTTTCCTGGTTTTTGGTTTTTGTTTTTTTTTTTTTTTTTGTTCATTTGTTTGTTTTAAAGGGAAATGGAAACTGCTGCAGGATGATTTGGCAGATTAAATTTTTGCCTTCCCGATACTCTGATAGTTCTTAGACACAGGGGATGCTTTGGATTTTAAGGGTTTGGGAAGAGTGACTTTCTCTTTTTATGTGTTTGTACAGTGCTAGTAACAAAAGGGCTCTAGCCTGTGGCTTCAATGTAAAGTCTAAAATCAGCTTTTCAGGCTTTTCCAGAAAATTTCACAGAGACAGGAACCTGAAGACCTGTAGCAGAAATGAGCCAGCAGTGATTTAACTGTCCCTATCCAATTCCTGGGCAGTAAATACTTTGTGTACTGTTATCTGCACTTGAGAAGATCTGCCCTGCGTCTAGTCTAGGACCCAAAATCCAAAAGCCATAATTTACTGGGCAATGTATTCATATCTTACTAAAAGGAAAATTACTTGATCCTTAATGGCTAAAATTGGTCAGAGTTGGCTGCTGAGAGGTGAGCTCCCTTATACTCCCAAATTATCAAAAGTTAGTCAGGAGAAGGTGGGCATGTCATCCTTCCTTTCAAATAAATTCACAGTAACTTAAGCTCTCATCTATTTTCTTCTAGAAGTCAAAGCATATTCTATGAAACAGAAGTCATGGAGGAAAACAAGTAGGTTAAGAACTTAAATTGCAAAACAAATTACAATCAGAACCATTTATTTCATTAGTCTTCTAAGTGGTAGCACACTGACAGAGATGAGATGTTGCTAAGGGACTTTCTGGAAGGACTTAAATTTGCCGCTTTCTGGTCAGAATTAGAATGGAGCAAGAGAGTAAAGTCTCTCTGAGTGCCTTGACATCTCTAACAAGAGTCTTCTTGAAAAGGTAATTTACATCTAATTAAGCAATGCTATTTTGTTACCTCACTCAAAGGCTGCTCCTTCCACCTCTACTAGGAGAGTGTCAGTCAAATGTTCCATAATGATCCTGCCAAAGGTGGACGTTTTGTCAGCAGGAATTACTGTCTGTCTCGCTTTGCTTCCACGGTGATGTACGAGCCAGGACTCCAAATCAATATATGTATCACTGAACTTTGGATAATTGTTAAGTCTGATAAGGTCAGAGTTTATTTACACAGGAGAATGTTCATTAACATAGTTTTGATTCAGATGATACTTCAAAAGAAACTAGAATTACATTTCAGAAGCAGCTCAAGTCCTGGATTTAAATAATATCCAATTTATATTTAAAAAACAAGTGAAATCACCGTGAGTAGGGAAAGAAGAAATGTCATTTGAAAATCTTCAGACATCTGTAAGAAAATAATAATATGCACAGGGACTGACAAAAAAAAAAGAAATCTCCTATTTTAGAAAAGTCTTAACTTAGGGGATATTCTTACCTCCCTTTGATGTTGATGTTAAATATGTGCTTAACTTTTTGCCTACCCGGGGAATCACACCAGCAGCTTGCTAAATAATTTCTCTCTAGGAGCCTATTGGACCAAGGAACAGTTGATTTAGAGAGGTACAATTCCTAAAGTAAGTCCTGTCATAACAAGGAGAGCTGCTCGCTCACACAGACCACCTAAATTAATTCATCTTCAGTGGATCCCTGTTATTTAAACAAATAAACACGATTCTTCTCTTTTCCTAACTGGCCTCTTCAATGCATAGATTCACGTGCTGAACAGCCTTGGAAAGGGCACCCAAAAAGACTGGAGTAAAGCCACATATTTGCCTTTGCAACTCAGGAATGCACTGCCAAACTCAAAAGCACCAAATGACCTTTTGTTTCTTCTGAAAATTCTTCAAGTTAAAGGTTTCTCGCTGATGATGGGATTTGAACCACTTACCTGAGAGGACATTCCATGGCATGGATACAGGATTGCTTTGTCATCCTCTTCGGCTCCCTGGTCCAAGCAGTAGCCACTGGCTTTGCTGTTCCTCACCTGGAACCAGAGCAGAACAAACCCAGCTGGGTCAGAAACCAATCCCCGTGATCCAAGTCCCATCCAGCCAAATCTCAGCTGTGCCACCCCATCAACACAAGCAGTGTGTAAAACTGCCCTCTGAGAAACACATGGTTATTCTTCAGACAGGACAAGATGCCAACAGTGAATTTGCTCCAGGAAAAGACATCATTTGGACAACCTGCTGTCTTCACAGACCTCGGGTCAGAGTTATATTTTCAGCAATTACTCAAGGATCAAAAGGCCATAAAATTCACTCTGACCCAGGTCAAATTTTGCTCCAAATTACTCTTGTGTAAACATAAATTTTGACCCTGTTGTGTTGAGTACGTGACTTAATAAACAGCATAGGAACTACTCAGGTGTTATGTCTTCCTATCCCTTATATAAAACCAGAAAAGCATGTGAAAAAAAAATTATTTCAACTGAGAATATAGTACATTGTTACGTATAAGAGTGACATAAAGCACATTGCACAGAAGGGTACAGGTTCAGAGATCCAGTGAAGTAAAAAATTCTTGTGCCTCCCCAGAAAAGGAGAATTTACAAGTCTATAAAAACTGGGATGGAGCTCTTGTGAAAACCCAGGCCTTTCTCTTGAGACTAGAAGTATTACACACACATATTTTGGACACAGAAAAATTTTACAGGTATCATAAACAAGAAGTTATTTAGACAGACACTTTGGAAGAGTCAACAGGTCAGTTTTTGTTTAGACTGTGAAGCATCTCTCTGGCCACCCCCATAATACAGAAACAGCTGCTGCACAAGGTGTCAGAGAAAATCTGTAAATAATCCTTTATATCACAGAGTACAAGCAGACCAGGGAATCCAACTGGACAAGGGGGATCACCAACAACTAAATTTCAGGAGGTTTTTTTATGACTCAGGCACTATAAAGGCTAAAGAAGATGAAGACAGCTTTATGACACGGCTTTAAAAATGTGAATTGAGTCACTAGGAAATATATTTTTACTACTGTTTCAATCTGTTTCACATCTACTCAATACATCTATTTTCCTTTAAACTCACTAAAATCCAGACATCTTTTCCTCCAGGAAAATAACCAGAGGAGAAAGTATTTAATAACAAGCCTAATGCCATTTAGGATGAAGCCTTAAGTTTTTTCATTATGGGCACGTAAGGCTGAAAGGGACCCGTGCCAGTTTATACCAGCTAAATAGCTTGTGTGGCTCCATTTTATTAAAAATGTTAATGAATTTTAGATATCTGCATCACTGAGCGTTCTGTTTGACTCAAGAACCTTCTATGCAACCGCTCAGGAGAAACAAACTTCATTTCAGGGCCCAGCTTGCTCAGTGTCTGCTATAATTGACACAACATTGGCAGTTCTGCCAATGCTCTTCGCAGTTAACAGCTTTCTCAGAGCTGACAGATACCAACAGCTCCTGTTGAGTTTACTAAATGTCTTTTCTCAGTTACCGACGGGGATAGTTACATCAGGATGCAAAGTGATATTCTGCAATAAAATTTGCACTTTGTATCAGTATCTCAAGTACCTGGCTTATTTTTACATGAAGTCAATCAAAAAGGAAAAGTGTCCACTCAGTTGTCTTGTGGGAAAATATATTGCCTGTGGATTTAATTGCGGTTCAAGTAGACAATTAAAATCTTAAAAACATGATGCAGCAGGAGAGCTCCCAGAACTTCACCCCAGTTCACCATCATAAATGACAGCAGTCCTTCTATTACAGGCACGTGACACAGATTTGAAGAGTCATAGAAGGCACGTCTGACCTCTTTAAAGATTGGGGGCAAGCGAATATGGGAGATTTGACTGGTTCACAGAAGAGAAAGAAAAGACCCAGAGAGCTGAGATGAACTGAAATGTCCAATTTCTAACATGTTTGGATCCAGCAGTTTATCAGGGTTGAGTAACCTCCCCATTCAGCTGCTTTCGAGCTGGTGTTCCCAGGTATTACCCAACACTGCTACACAAGTGAAAATGAAAGTACAGAAAATATGGAATTTGAGCACGAGGCAGCAAAATTGCTTTTCCGCTAATGACTTTTTTTGATGAGGAGATACAGACCTGCCAAATGGTATCCTCACCTCGTAGTCTGAACAAGGATATGTTTCCTTTTATCCTGAACAGGATAAAAGGAGGATTGCGAAAATGAATTAATAAAATCAATGTAATCCTTCAAATAGTTCAGCCAAACTCAAAGAAGGGGTTGTTCTTTTGATAAAAACAACTCAGCAAACTCAACTCTTCTCATAGTTCATCAACTATAATTATTTTAGCTCTCTTGACTGCTGATGTTTTCTTGATGATGTCTGTGGCAGCCTGTTTAGGAAGATGATTACCTCGAATTTATGTTCTCAGAGCTGCTCTATTTAAAAATGAAAGAGTTTGCATATCTTTGTTAGTGACAAGGATTTCACCTGATGTGCTCCAGTGAGAGGGAAGGGGCTTCTCAAAGCCACACTTCTTAGTGTTGATTAAAAGCAGGGGAGGGTATTTTTGTTGCTACTGCTGTACTGACTGTGCTCTGTACATCCTGATACCACTAAAATGAAAGGACTTCTCAAGTGCAGCCATGAGGTATTTTCAAAGGCATACAGTACCTCTCCATAAGTGACTGTGTTATTGTAAACCCTCATTTCAGGGTACACGTTCTCCAAGTACCACTTAAAACTCCGGCACTGCAGTCGCTGTCGCAGAGCAATTCTTTCAGAAACGTCTCCAAAGTCAACTCCAGGGTTCTGCAAAGCAGAAAATGAACAAAGAAATCTCACTGCACTGACTTTATGGTTGCTTTCTTCACTGAAACCAAACTGGAGTTCATTTTGTACACCAAGCTGTACTTTCCCTGTCTTCTTTCTCTTTTGTGAGTAGCAGCTCATCAAACAGCTGCCTTTGAGTGTAGACAATAAATATTAATGAAAGCCAGTGGAAAAAAAAAAAAAAAAAAAAAAGAAGGATAAAGAACAGACAAAAACCCAAACATAAATCAAAACAATGAGAATACAATAACAATGTTGTTACTTACAGCAATTCTAAATGTTTGCAATCAATCCTGAAGCCTTTGCTTTCAGATTTGTTTGGAATTTAGGAGTAATTCTGATCTAAAATATGGCAGCTGGGTCATGGTTTACTCTAGTAAGAGCTTTGGGTATTCACTAATGTAAATGACATCAGAACAGACCTGTTAAAACTTCAAAGCAAAGCTGCTCAAAAAGTCATTAAGTTCCACTAAGCATTCGTACAGATCAGCATTCAGTTTTTACTGGAACTGGAGCTCATTTGCAGACTTGAGCCATAAAACACAGTTAAATTCAAAACCTTCTTTATTATTCTACTTCAGAATTTAATTCATGTTTAAATACAACCCCATGAAAAGCAGAGGTTGGAAGACTCAAGTCAGTATGACCAAACTCAGCCATTTAAAAACGGCAGGTGCTGACTTAGAGTCTGTTGATTTAAAGTGTTATAAATCATCAGTTCAACAGCAAGACAGTAAGGGTTACCTCACCGAAAAATCTTTTCCAACACTATATTAATCAAATGGACTGAAACTGGGGAGTTCTGCATGGAATCTGTCTGAAGTGCCTTGCACTTTTCCTCCAGGAGGATTTCTGTACGTTCTGCAGATTGTATCTAAGGCAGGGTTACAGCAGCAAATCTTAGCTCAGCGTTTATTAAAACCCCCAACAGATGCCTGGTTTTCAGGAGAGAATACAAGTGTAATACAGAACAGGTTTTCCTATTTGCCACACAAAGAGTTTGCTGTGCTCACTGCTGCTTGCTGATGCACACTCTGTCATGAGCTCTCAGTGCAACATCCATTCAAATGAATGTTAATTTACGTACTACTTCAGGCTACGTGGAAGGGGAGCAATCCTTTGAGGCACTCAGTGCAATAAATCATTCCAGGTAAGGTTCCTTTATCTCTAAAATTGTTGAGGAATAGATCATAAGCAGGGGGACGCCGAAATATGTGGTTAACTAAAATAAAGCTATGCTGACCTGCTGCTGAAGGTTATAGGAACATGACCTTGCAGATGTGGCCCAGACCATCTGCTAATCTGGGTACACATTATGCAGAGATCCTCAATAACTGGTGAGGGAGTGATTTGTGACATAGATGGTGGGAGTTATAGAAGAGTTAATTTAGCTCGGTTTTGTGGTATGGGAAAAAACACATTATTTCTCTTGCCTCCTTTCTGCCCTATTCTTAAATGAGGCAATAAAATGCCCTTTTTGCAGTTCTGTTTTTACAGAGCATGAGAGCAGCAAATTGAGCAGCTGTGAAAATGCTGTGCTCACCCTCTGTGCCAGCTGCAGTCCTGTGCAGGTACAGAGTGATGGCACAAGAATGAGGTGTCTACAGATATTCTTTTCAACCAGCTAGCAAGGTTTCTAGTTCTCCTGCAGAAGGTTTTTGTAATGGCTTATACCAGTACAGGACTTCTGAGCCATCTGGATTGAATACTACAGTGGAATAACTAACACTAGCTTCCTTCTCCTGAGAGCTAATAGGGTTATTTTTATGATGCACATTTTATCAATCAATCAATTTATTTTATGGAAAGAAAATTTTAATGCTTAGTACTGCTCCTGATTTTATGACTTTTATTGTAGATGTGCCTGGGTTTTTTTCAAAGCTTTGCTCTATGGCTCAGTGCATAAAACTACATCAATAAGTAATCACAGGGAGATTAAAGGAAATCATATTTTGGTGTAAATGCTTATTTAAATATCATCGTTCCTCAGAATTCATTTGCAGGTGTCATCAAGCAAGCAAATTTTCTGAGGTTACTTTTTCATTTCCTATTTGAAAACTAACCATTTCAGCAAGTGGATGCAGACAGGGCCAAAATGCCCCTAAAAACTTAGATGGTCACTGTTTTGTCTTCCTCCTACTGTCACAGAAATCTCGTGTGGGAAAAGTTATGCAGTATTGCCTTTTGTTGAGGCAAAATAATTCTCTGCAATTACCTCTCATGCCAAAAGAAGTCACCAAAAACACATCTCAGAGACTTTGCACAGTGTTCAATACTGAACAGCAGCACGTGAAATTCAGATGTGTGAGAACATCTGACATATTCACACATCACATGGAGAAGAGGAAACATTGCTGGTTTAGATACATATTTTAAAATATACATATATTTTAAAAGCTACAACAGGAATGAACAAAAATGGGGTTTCACATATTTCCCAGGTACTAAAGCACAAATAGATATTTAGGCCATAGACTAAATCCAATGAAGTGTTTAACAAGACTCCCATGACTCTGATGAAGCCTAGGTCATAACTGAATACTCCCAAAGACACTGCTGGATTTGTGTATTTTCCTGTTCTGATAGGAACATTCTTGTTTCCATTTGCTTCAATCAGATCTGGACAAAGCCCTGATATAAGGGTTAATGACACCATCATTATCTGCAGAGCAGTGTATGCTTCCCCTCAGCTGCCCTGTGCCCCTTCCTGTGAATCATCTGGATGTAAATGCCACTAAGGAATACAGCAACACCTGCCTGGGATATAACACACAACCCTTCTCTCCAAGAACTATGCTCAGTGGAGATGTAGCACGTGATATACTTACAGAATAAAGTGATAAACTGAACCTACACTTTATCTAATATTTATATTACACGGATTCCTACAGGGCTCCACATGGCATCCACAATTCATGTGTGCAGTGAGAAACACAATGTGTTCACATGGCATCTCTCAGACTGTGGACAATAAAGCCAGTTAATATGTGGTTCTTTTATTACATACTTTGTATTTTATGCTGGTGAGGTCTACTGAGTCTCAGGATGAATGATAGTATTTATTTATGGACATTTCTGCAGTCCCCACCACTGCAGCATATGAACACCTCAGAGTTTAATGGCACCCCAAATTAACGACTTCTGAGGAAGCACATAAACCTGAAACATTTTGCTCTAGTTAAATTATAAATCTGTGTCGCTGCACACAACAACCTGTGCTGAGCACACAACCAAACCTAGGCCGAGGAGGTGAGTTCATGTGGCAGAACTCTCCGTGCTGAGCACACAGCAGCTGACAGCGCTCCTTCCCTGAGCTTAGCCCGCTTCTCCGGCTGTAGCAACACCCTTCACCTCCAAGAGCTAACTAGGAACAGCCATCCACGTTGCTGCCTGTGTTCAGGAGAGAGTGTGCCCTGTACTTACTGCCATGGGGATGTTCCAGGCCATGTAAACGTGCGACTTGAAGTCGTCCATCCAGACCTCGGCGGCGCGCAGGGCGTTGCGCTTTGCATAGTAGTCGATGTCGTTGTTGTAGGGTTTCTTGGTGCGCTCGATGTGAGCCACACGAGAGCAGGGCAACACCTCCATGCTCCCCCCACACTGCCACACCTGCCACAGGGACAGAAAACAACCACAGGAGTTATTTTTTTCCCCCCCTTTAAAGGCAACACTACTGCTCCTTTTCGGACGCCGCGCATGGTGTGTTTGCTGGTCGAAGGTGGGGGCTGTTGGATGATTCAAAATGATCCCCCATTTACCTGCTTTGGGGGTGCACACTGTCTATAGATGAGTCCAATGTGAATGCAGATGCCTGCACTAGGTGCATAAGTTTAGAAGCCATAAATAGCCAAGTCCCTTCCATAGTATCTCTGCTCTTGGAATCCTCAGGCAGAGGATAACTTATAAGGTGGTAACCTCTGCCATAGGGACTATTTTAACCTGGTGCTTGTTATTGAAACTTCAACAAAAATCAGCTGTATCATCTGTCTGTGTTTAGCACACGAATGGTGCACTGGGAGGGGCTCTAAGGTCTCCCTGGAGCCTTCTCTTCTCCAGACTGAACATCCCCAACTGCCTCAGCTTGTCTCCACAGGAGAGGTGCTCCAGCCCTCTCATCATCTTACCTCTCTACTCTGAGTGGATGAAGATGGATAAAAAGGGCTGTACAAGGGACTGTATCACCCAGCCTTCCCAGACACCACTGCACCCAGACTGTGCAATCTTTTCCCTGTTGATTATTTACTGTCTGAATTGAGGAATAACGAGCACTTGTCTCTTTGCATCAGTGAGATTTGGAGTGATGCAGGGTGAGTGAAGCTTATGCACTTCAGTTCCCTCAGGTCTGCACCTAGTAGTATAGTCTAGCTGAAATAAATAAAAGATATATAATTTATTGCTTTCCAAGGTTGCCTTTTACTGCGAATAAAAGCACATTTCAATACAAAATGTATTCCAGAACTATACTAGGGCAGTTCTCCACCTCACCTGCCTTCTCAAGGACAAAGATAAACTGCTTGGGAAGATAAAATCTCCTCTGGTTTGGCTGTTTTTTTTTTTCTTAATACTTTGTTAGGTAATATTTACTTGCTGTTTTCCCAACAGTTCTGTAGTAAATCACTGGCCACTGGAATTTACATTTGACAAATGGAGTACACTGAAAAACACACTGCTCATAAATTTGTACTGACATGTGCTGAGGCTTTCCAGTGCAAAGGGGAAGGGCTACAAAACCAGAAAGGAGTTAATTGATTTTCACAATCAGAAGGGGAAATGAGCAGTACACTTTAGTATACTGGTATTTGCCCAACCCAGCCTGGAAGTCAGTTATTTAATGCACAGCACATTTTTCTTTCTCTTGATATGGCTAATGACCTTGTAACTCTTATTTATACATCCTGGTACCAAGGGCAAATATATTATCTGAGTGACAGATTTATTTCCTTCAAATGACAGTGCTCATACTAACCTGAAAAGGAAAAGGTACTAAACTGCAACAACATTAGAGAAAACAGTTTAGCTCATCTGTAAATTCAATGCAAACAGTTATTTATCAGTGATAAATTCTCCACAGATGAAATCCACAGGGAAACAGACACCTGGCTTTGGAGAAAACACAACAAAAAAGGCAGCCTGGAGCTTGGTGCTCAGCACTCAGCATGGATCTGTGCTGTCACCTCCTTCCCCTACCCCTCAGCCCCATTTTGCTCTTTAAAGAGGCAACATCTGCTGAAGAGGGGGAAGGAAGGAAATAACCAGAAAATAGTCAAGGAAATTTTTCTTCCTTAGAAGAAATTTCCTTTTCAAGTTTTCTTTCCTTAGAAGAAAAATTTAACCCAGATGACTTGGCTTTTTCCAGGAATTATGTAACTTTTAACACCAGTGGGGGATGTTTCCCAGGATAAAGATGGGATTTCCAACCCCAGAGAAAAAGAACTGGATGTACAGCACATGGAGCAAGGAGTCAGACAGTCGTGTATCATCAGGTGTACATCACCATGCCACCATTTCTCCACATCCCAGATAAATGCTACTCAACTATGGGTCATTTCTTTTCAGGCCAGACAAGGTCTCCTGTTTCACTTCACAAAGATTAGTTGCTGTTCAGTGGACCACAGACGTGACTCTGTATCCCCACATCCTTTCAGCCCACAGCTAAGTACAGAGTGAAGAGTCTTTCCCTTTCCAGCCCAATAATTGCTTAAATTTACACTAAATGGAAGAGTTTCAGTAGTACAATCAAACATGTGCATCCAAAACTGGGCAAGATCCCAGGAGTTAAGAGCCATCATGTGAGATTTAGATAAATGCTCAAGGTTTGTATTTGAATGAGGAGGATGGGAGGTTCAACACCTTCTCCCTGCTGGACACAGATCTGAAAGACATTCACGGTGCAGAAAACCACTGCCTGTGTGCTCCTGTCCACTGGCCACTGGCTGATCCTGAACCTGGTTGATTCTCCTCCTCTTCCCATCCTCAAAAATCTATTTAATGACTAATTTTAGCAGTAGCAGACAACACATTTCTTTCCACATCAAACTATGAAATTATGCCAGAAAATAATTACATGCCTTTATAAAGCATTTATCAAGCAGAATCCTTGAAGTGCCTTACTGGGGGAAGCAAATTATTTCTAACTGCGAGCATAAAGTGATGCCCAAGGCCCTTCAAATCCACGAGAAAACTGACTTCCATATCTGTGACTTCTGGGACAACACCACATTTCCAGCCCAAGCTATTCCTCTCATATGGAGCTGCCAACACTAAATGTGTGCTTCAGGGCTCATTTCCTGAGGAGGTTGGAAGTGTCACAGCCTCCCTGAGCTGCTCCCCACGAGGGTGCACATCACTGAAAAGCAAACTCTGCCTTCTCTTCCCCCGTGGAGAGGCAAATCTCTCACAGTACATTTTTTTGGTCAGGTTTCACAGCATGCACTCATCAGATATATTGTGGGGCAACAGCCCAGGCTCCATGGAAGGCCAGGTGGATGCTCCCAGCAAAGCAAAGTGCAGTTTGTGCTCCCTGACTCGGTGCTGCTGCTCCAGCCCAGGGACTCGGCTCTGCCTCCCTGAGCACCAGCACTCCGCGCAGAGTTTTAAGACATGATCAAGTAATTCCAAGAGACACTCAATTTATCTGCTAATTGTAGCTAATTTCTAATTTCAGCACTGCTCTTTAGGCTGCTATAAACAAAATTGATAGCAATTTAAATGTTACCACAGCCGCGTTACCTTAGCATTTTTACTGCTAATTATCTCAATCAACTTTTCTATAAACAGACATATTAAGTATTGAGAAGAACAAGTACCCACATCAGGAGTAAATTACAAACCGAATGATAATGTTTGTGGTTTGCACTACAATGATTTACTGACACTAATTATTAGCTGTTCCTGTACATCTGAGATATGCCTGTCCTACAGGAAGGTGTTTATTTATTCAGCAGTCAACCAGACATCATATTCTGTGAAAATCTGAGATGAGACCACGTCTTGTCTACCATTACCCAAACTGTGCATCAGCAAAGCTCTCTGAACACAGGTTGGGTTCAGAGAGAAAGGCTAATAAAGTGCCATGATTTAACTCTCAACAAACAAGAACAAATTCTCCAAGGAAATTCACTTTCCCACAAGTACTTTTTGCTGAAGGTCAAAAATACCACCTTTAATGGGACTTAAAAAAAAATTAAACTTAAAAAGAGTTTTAAACAAGCCTGGTCACCGTTGAGGAGGATGTAGAGCTGGCTGGACTGCTGGGCTAATCAATTCCTAACTCTTGGCAATATATATAAAGAGAGAACATTGCTGACGTGGTCTCCAGCTCTGCAGGTGAGATCTCCTTTCCAATATAATCATGACCTGCAGAGTGAATGTCAGAGCTCAGAAGCATCCTGGGATTTAATCTTCAGGTGAGCCATTTGCACAAGGGCAGCTGCAGCTCCCAAGAGGCTCTCACTGATTCCAGGGAGGGCTCCTCCCTCTCCATGGACTTATGGCCCTGTACATTGGGTATCACATTATTTTGTACACTCAAGTGACTGCACAGGGTTACTTAATTTGGTGCAGATGATCTCAGGAAAAGCGAAATCAGAAGGTAAAAATAAAAATGGCATCAGTATGAAGGCAAAGCTGAGGAGACAGTTTTAACTTTGAAAACTTTAGACTGGAAGTAAAGATCATGATCCTTAAGAACTTTGTCCCTTGCTGTGAATTTTGCAGTTTAAACACCTCAGTGCTCAGTGAGAGAGAAAAAAGAAAAGTCTCAGACTCTGTTACAACTATTTTTTCCATCAAATACATCTTTGATTTAAGCAGCTGGAGAGATGAGGTATCCAAGAATGTGTAATAGTAGGAAAGACACTTGGGTGTGTGGGGGATTTGCCTCCAAAGAAACACCCTCTGCTGACAACTTCACAGCCTCTTAATGGACACACCAGTTCCACCCATTGCTCCAAATGCTGCAAGTTTACAGATGCCACAGCAACTCCAGTGGAGATCCAGCTTCTCTAATACTATAGAAAATCAAAATTAAATTTTCAACAACCTGAGGCTTTGAGCCCAGTTTTCACAATTAGCAAGCTCTCTGGAGGTGTCACTGCACAACCTGCCAGGGTGTCGTGGCAGTTTTGTGCTTTATCTGTTTCCAGGAGCTTGAGGACATTTCAGTGGTTCTTTGCTGAAAGGAAAAACCACAGTCTGCATCTTCCAGCAGTAACAAAATGGAAAAGACCAGCTTCAAAACACCCCTGTGGCAGCAGGGCCCCTCATTTCTGCTTTACCCAGCTGAGTGTGTCACCTGGCATTGCTGCAGTGGCTGTTCAGCACATCCTGAAACAAAACCCTGGTGCCAGAACTGGACTCTGATGTTTTATAAAACAGTGCTGAATTCCACCTGAGCAGCACTTCACAGAAGCAGCCTTCCAGATTTCAAACTTTCTCTTCCGAGTGAAGGCAACAGAAGAGATGGAGGAGTTTTTAAAGCAGCTCAGATATCCCTCATTTGTGATGTCCCAGTGTGAGAATTCTTAAGTCAGGGATCTCAAGTTTTCTTCAGTTTTCAAGGCAAAGCCTACCAGAGATGGATGTCTTCCAGACTACCCACACACACCCAC